TTATCCTAGACTAAAAGAAATTAAAATACTCCTCACTTTCACAAGAAAGATTTAGAGCCCATCCCCTCAAAGGAAAACAGAGCTTATAAAACACTCTTGACAATAATTAATGAGCAAAATACTGTCTTTGTTTTTTTAAATAAAAGTATAGACAGACTTTAAAATAAATATTCTTTGACATGATTCATCTATCCACCTATTGCTCTCTCATTCTGCATTATCTAAATTACTTTAAAGCAAAACAGAAAAACTCCTCTTTTAAATCATTGTGTTCTTTTGTTTGCATTCATAGTTCTTTCAAATCAGCACAGTATAGAGATATCATGTAAACAATAGGGCCTGTGTTAATGCCTTACAAAAGGACACTGTTACCTACATCGCCCATCAGTCTGTATTAGTTTACCATGGCCCTAATAAGTTGTGATTTGGTGATTTGTCTTGATGTAAACATACATGAGCACACATATGCACATTAGCCCACATTTTAAGTTCTGTAGTTGTTTTAGGGCCTGTTGTTTTTTTTACTTACACACTCTTACCTACTCAGACATCCATTCTAGAAGCTGCCTATAGAAAAGAACTGAGATCTTGATTTTACTTCCCCATCCGGGAGGGAATATCTTCAATAAAGTGCCCAAAATGCCTTGAATAAAAAGGCAGTTTCATGCCCAGGGTTGTGTGTGAACACCTGCCTGTTACAAAATGAATGACAGTTTTATAAATAGCATGCAATGTGGATGCTTTCTGTGAGGGCAAGAAATGAATGTCCACATCTCTCTGCAGAATGTCAGAAAATTATTCCAGAACGACAGCTTGTCATGCACAGGGGAGCGTCAGCCTGAGCTTTCAGCATGCTTGTGTGGTCTGCAATTAAAGAGGATAAACTTCTCAGGTTTTTACAGTCTGGGTCTTGAAGGAAAAGGGCTTTAAGTGCCTTTGATGCCTCTTTGACTCAGCTGGAACATCTAATACAAGAGTTAGCTCTAAATAGGAAAGAAGGCAGAAATGTCTCCACGGGATGATGATAGCTGTTCATACCTGGAGACCTTAAAAGTCATTAAAGCACAGTGCAGTTCAGTGCTGGTTCACTCCAGAGCAGTTCTCAATGTTGTGACCTTCAGTTTTAGCATAAGACAGAGGGGATGAAATTGAATTCATTTATCATATTTAGCCACTTTCAAAGACAAATGAGCAGTGAAAAAAAGGTAAAAGGATGGACCTTATCTGACTGTGGAAATGTGATTCATTTTAGTATGCATTCACACAGATATATGAAATGCTGAGTTTGTTTGGGGTACCTTCAAGAAAAGACCTTTTAAACACAAAATTAATTTGTAAAGTCTAACAGAGAAGCATGAATTTAAGGAAATATTACCTCTTGTTTGTGTCTTTCTTGATCCGCCTTTTGGGTTCAAGAATCAGACCAGAGAATCCTTCTCTGCTTTTGAGTCAAAGGAGCTGATTATGTACTGCTGGATAGCAAGGGGGTAGGTCTCAGGAAACAAAAAGTGAACTCTCTGTAAAAAACTGTCATGGAGGAGTGAAAGCATGTGAACTCTGGGCAGAAGTTGAGCCCACACGATCCCCAGACTGCCCAAAATATGCTGTCTGTTCATATTGGCTCTTTTTGTTTCCTGATGACAGCTCTCTTGCCTTACTTCTGAAACTTTTGGCACTGTGTCTATGCAGAAGTACAAAGTCTGCCTTTCATGCGCCTGTGTCAGAGGACATCTGCGTTACGGAGCAAGACTTGAACAGTTCCAAAATGAAGGAAGAAAGAAGGAAGGAAGGCAAAAGAGTCTGTCATGCACTCTATTGTGGTGGCTGATTTTCACATCCGCAGAGAAATATAAGGGAAATTCAGATGGTTTGTCAAGGGAAATATGATTGAATTATCTCTATAGCCCAGCTGAAAGGTGAAATGATGAGCAACCTGGAATTAAATTAAAAACCTAAACCCATTAAAGTATTCAGATTTCCCAGTCTAAGATAAAAGTGAAAACCTTTGAAATTAAGCAGTCTCCCTACCCTTATCTCAAGCTGAAGACGCTGCTGCTTTGGATAACACAAAGGAAGCCAGACTGGATTACTGCTCATCTGAACACTGGTTTTCAAATGCACCATATTTTCCTCAAGAAATGAACGTTATTCATTTCAGCTTATGCTGGATATCAAAGTAACTGTAGAAAAGGACACAAAATAAATTACCAGCCATCCTTTGATCCCAACACACTCCCACTGCTCCACTTCCCCACTCCAGAGAATAGTGAAATAGGACCATATCTCTTCCTTATTCTCAGCACAGTGCTGCGTACCCTGAGTCTTTCAAAGCTCATTCCTTTTCTGAACAATGTCTTTATTTGTAACTCAATCAATTTTAAACTCTGCGTAAGATCTTCTCAAATGCTTGTTTTCTCACATGACTCTTTCTTGCCTTCAAAGTGATTCTTCTTAAAATGCATTTCCTGAGTCCCACCTTGTCTGGCTTGAAGAGACAAATAAATCTCTCTCTTTGAGGAATCCAAATCTGTTCATCTATCCCATCACAATGAAGTACATTGCTGTACAGAAGTATTCCATTCCTATATGCAATATAAGCAAGAAAACAAATGTTTTTCTGTTTAAATTGGTTTTCATGTTAGGGCAGTTACACTTGTGCTGCATGTGAAATGAATCCTTGCCTTCTTTCGTAAAGGCAACACCATACACAGTCACTACTTGATGACATAAAATAGTGGAAAAACATATGATAAACTATGTGATATCCCAAATCATGAATAGAAAGGGATCAGTATTGAATTCCTTACATATAATAATGATGAAAAAACATTCATGTATGACAAAGTGGGACCAATTCTCTGTATTTATTTGTTCATGTGATGCACCCACATCCTTTTCATTATGCCTGATTGCACTCTACGGGTACAAACACTTCAGGGCAGGCATTCTTTCTTTGAAACTTGCATGACATCAGAATAATAAAGCCTCAATCCCAACAACGGTCAGAAGAAACAGCAGGGGTAGGAATATTTACTACTGCTAACAATGTTATGTTACTGAAAAAGAATGGTGTTTTTCAGTTGCATTTTGAATAAGAGGAAAATTGGAAGCAAGTTGCTTCATAGCCCTTTATCTCTTCTGTTTCTACATTGGAACCGAACGTGTCCTGGAGTAAACAAGGAATAGCAAACCTCCCTGATGTGAAACAACCAGAAGGAAGAGAAGGGAAGAAATACCTATTGCTGTCAGGCCTCTACAACCAGATTTTTGCAATAACATTTGCAAATTACTTAGAAGATCTTCAGTGGAGGAAAGTTACTACTGTGCCTCTGTTGTACTCCTCGAGCACTCGTCTACATGCTAGACAGCAACTGGGACACCATGGAAATTCCCTCCATAAACATTATTTTTAAATTAAATGTGAAACCTTTGGAATGGTATTACTCCTTCCATCATCAAAATATTGTGCTGGTGTAGTTAAATTTCCCCCCCTTGCCTTAGGTTTCGGTTCTCCAGAATTAAATATTCCATTTCAAATCCACATTTGGTATTTCAGTGATTTACACCTCATCTAATTTTGCTGGACGTCAGATGCCCTTTTAATGAGTGCTTGGAGGGTTTCATTCCATTATAGTTCCAGAAAAGCTGATGCTGCATTTTCTTTCAAATTCAAAAATTTAGCTGGCTGACTTCCAACTTGCAATCAAATAATAATGAATTTTTAAAACTACTCCTTCCCAAGCAGATTCTCAAGAATAAAATTAAAAAATAGAAGAATAAATGTGCCAGATTTATGCAAGTCTTTATAAAAATTGTCCAGAAGAAAAAGTGCATTGCTGTAATTTCTCAAAAATAGAACAAGTAGCCTTTGGGATGTTTCTTCCATCTAATCAACTGAGAATATTAACAGTTTCACATGTTCGGTGTTCCTGCTATGTTTAATAAATGAACTAAATGCGAGCACTGTCTGAAAAAGCATCTATTTAAAGCCTGCTGTACAGCTAACTCCCTGTTGCGCTGGGCAAGACGGAAGTGCAGAGGCAGAGCAGCAACCTACAGAGATAAGCATAGTTAAGAAATAACTGAAGATAAACAGTTTTTTCTGAGAAACTGTGACCAAGATGAAACAGTGGACAAGGCATCAAGCAACTGGAATCCTTGGTTCCCTTTCTCTTTCCTTTACTTTCTAAACCTTGAACAGCCTTTGTAATGTATCCACTCTTCCATCCATCTTCTTTCTTCTCTGCCTATCCATTCTCACATCATGTAGGCAACTCCCCCTCTGCACCCTGAGAAGAAAAGGTATCTCTCTGTACAACTGTAAACAAAGTACAAAAACAACTTGTGTAAATTACCATGAACTATTTGGAGATCAGTGGATAGAGAATTTCCCAGTTAGTTTATACCACTTCACTTTAATCCATCAATTTGATTGGTTGCGAGAGTTGTTTCCATTTTACAAAGATGGCTTTCATAACCTAGAATATAATTTATCATCCTAGTGAAAAGCATATGACCATATGGTACATAGCTTGTGCACGCTATTGATTAGGTGTTTCACTAGCAAGTTCCACTGACAGGACCTGCAGAGGTTGCCAGGTGCTCCTTGTGAAGGTTTTTGTAAATGCATTTACCACCCACAGTTTAAAACCAGTTATTTATTTGCTTGCTTAATACCATTTCCAATGGTCTATATCCAGTATTTCCAACAGCTGATCTATTAGCTAAATATTTATAAATAAAATGAAAAAATGGCAGATTCTCCCAAGAGAGTCAGCACTCCCCTTTCCTGCATATAAACAAAGTCCTGCCAACCCATGTGAGATGCTTCCCTGTCTGTTCTGGCAGTGAAAGGACACTGATGTCTCCTTGTTTCTTTACATAAGTCTGTAGGATAGGTGACAGTTCAACTTTTACACAGAAATAATTTTCATTTTCTGAAAGGATTTTGTCTTTGGGTGCAGTGATTCTCTTTCAGTTCCTTTTATTACCATAGAAATATAAAACTGAAAGTGAAGTCACCTAGCCCTTGCCTTCTCTTTTTTTAATCTAAAAGAATCCCAGTTCATAAAGGCTTTCTTCAGAGCCTGTGCTTTCTAGACCTCTGTTCGGTCCCTACCACCTCTCGCATCTTTGCTCCTAAAGCCATTTTCACAGCTTCACCATCTTACTAAAAAGGAGTTGATTTCAAAGTGAAACAAATGTTATTATTCAACTTCTCTTTCCCTTACTATTTTTTTTTCAGTCCAATCTGACTACAGTAAAGCTTTCCTAGTTACAGTGTTAAGCACGCTCCCCTTTTATGCATAGGCATAATTTAGTAGCACGTAGTTGAGTAACGCATTTTAGCATTCATAAACACTGATTATTTCCTTCATGAATCACCTTGAACTGCATTTCTCATGATTTTAACATGCACTCCTTTGTTGTGGTCTGGAATTCCCTTGATATAAAGCACTTTGCAAAGTGATATTTCTGTGTTACCACATGCACTGAAGATGAAGAAAATGAGTAATATAATTTTTACCACAGAATAACTGAGGTAAATCTTTTCTTATGACTGGTTTAAGGGAGTAATGCACTAAATCAGTACATTTTTATTATTTTCATGACATTAATATGGTAATCAGCCCTGGAATCACCATAAACATCCTAAAACATAGGCACAAATTAGGACTTCATGATGGAATGTCATCATTTCTATGCAAATGATTCTCAGTTCTTCCTGTTGTTTGCTTTTTTTCTTTTTTTTTTTTCTTTCAACGTTACCTTGAGATGTTTTGAAAGGACACTTGTTAAAAATACATTTAATGATCACACAGAATTCTTGTTCTAGTGAGCATTTAAATCTACTGACCTGCAAACAAAGGGCTGGACTTGATGTCACTGCTGTATCATTAAGCAGAAATAAAGTCAATAAATGTTGGTAAAGAACTGAACAAAAGTTATAATTTCCTCTCTTTAGATGAATTGCATTGTTCCTTTACTGTAGATCTTCCTAATACTGAAAAACAAACTATACAACTACTCATGGCAAGAGAATGTCACAAACTGCTTCAGAAATGTAATCTTGATTGAGGTCAGTAACATTCTGGCATTTTCTAACTCTGTTAGAATATCATTCCCAGAGTCCCTGGTCTTCTCAGTCATAAATGTTCTCTTCAAGAAAGGGATGTTTTAGCTGAAGCAACAAAGTGCAAGCATAGACATTGAGAACCCCTCGTGCTGCATCACAGCTGGAAAGAACACTAATAGCAGATTTTCCTGTTCATTTTCAAAAGTTAATGATGTTCTGTAATTATAAGCAGTGAAACTGGGGTACTATCTTCCAAAATGACAGTACTGCACCTCCTTCTTCTGGTTTTCATCTTGGGATCTCAGTTCCTCAATACATCAGCCTGGTAATTGCACACGGAGCTAATGTCTGTCTCAGGTTCAGTACTGATGCTGGCAATTAGCATCTAGTCAGAGAATATAGGATTCACTTTAACTTGTCCTGGGTATTTGTTGAAAGAAAAGAAAACATAAGTGGAACAACAGATAAGTAAAACACCTGCGCATAACAAGTCTGAGGGGACAAATGCCATTTCTAGAAATGGTTCTTCCACTGAGCAGCACATATTCAACACCATGCAGAACTCCACACCATCAGCAAACTCTTCTCATTCTTTTGTTTGCTGCAATAATTTTGTCTCAAAGGCTTTGAAAGATTTTCATCTTCATTTTTAATCAAAAGAGCATCACAGTGTATTTCATAAATAGCAGAAACAATATTTTCCATAATCACTGTGGAAAGTTACCATGTCACTCTTCTTCAAAGTCACCTTTTAAACAGAAAACAGTTTATTGAGCTACTTTGTCCCTTAAATTAGCTTAAAAAGAAAAATGGGTAGCAACTCCTATAGAGAAAGTAACAGAAACTCCCCATGATTATTTTCTTGCACTTTACAAAAATGCCAAAGGCTTTGTGCTGTACAGTGTGAAAAATACCACATTTTCAAATGAAAAAAAAAAAAAAGCCACTCTGAAGAATCCTTCTAATTAAGTTACTCCTGGAAGTCTGAATAATTTTGCTGTTTGTACAGCAGGCTTTCAACACTGGGAGGTCTGTTCATTACCCTCAGATTAAAAGGTGTGAACTTGTTATGAACTTCTTCCTGATGGAAGAAGAAAAACTAGCAAGGTGGGATATTAAAAATGCAAACAGCTGGTTTTACAATGGAAACTGAATCTTCCGGAGGGATTTTTTTCTATTCCAGACTGATTTTCTTCTGTTTCCAAGAAAACTATCTTACAGAATTAGAACTGTGGTATCTAACACAACAGTGCATTAGGTAGGGGTATTGAACATGGGTACCCGCTTTCTTTGGGTTTGCAACCAACACTGAGCTTTAAGTAATAGCAGAAAATACCCACTTTCAGTGCAGTTTTCAAGTAACAAAGTACTGGTATAGCTGAACTTCTTTCTAAACACTGGAGAATAAACATGCAGCACAAAGATCTTTGCAGCCACAATCATAGAGGAAAGCTGACACTTATCTCTTCCTGATTCACTGAACCCGTATGCCTGCATCTGTTGTGTCAGCATTTTCAGAAGCAGTAGCATGGAATAACACCTGGCTTGATCACGTGGTTCAGAATTACACTGCAAGGAGAAAAACAACACAAAAAAACCTAAAAAACACGTGTAATTGAGACAATGATTGATCTATCTTCAGAAAGCAAAGTGCTACGACCATTCAGTTACTCCGAATCCTAAAGACTGCCCATCGTGACATGTAGCCTTGTTTGGTAAAGATACCAAACTCCCATTTCAGCACTGGCCAAACTCCTTTCCTAGACATAAAAACAGTCACACGTTTTCTGTGTTATTGGGAAATAACCCCAGAGATATTATAAACAACGTAATCTAAGAAGTTGGCTTTATGCCTTTGCAAAGGCTTTGATAGGTCCTGTTGGCTCGTGCAGATGCTTTGAAAATGGTTACACATATTTTACTGGTAGCGATGTTTTTCCATTGTTCTGAAATCCCAGCATGGGACCGTTAAAGCAAATGTCCCTTTGAAGGCATAAAACAGAGCAGAGCAAGCAGAAATTGGGTACAAAAGATGGGAAGACGACGAACTGCAATCTCAACCTCTGAGCATGATCAGAGAGGGAGACCTGCACTCAGGGGTTTTAGAATCTTCTTCAGCACAGCATTTTACTTAAACTGGCTAACACAAGAAATCACTCTTTCAAACAACTGTTAACTCACCTGCTTAAAATCTCATATGCCTTTGCAGAGAGAAACAAACAGTAAGATAAAGAACCCAGAAGACTGGAGTTCTGGAAAGGAATGTGTGCACACAGTGTGGATATCTCATTGATGAAGACAATTGACTTGGGTCTGAGAGAAAAGTGGCATTTTCTGGATTTTAGACCCAGAAAATCCCATTACAGTTCAGATGACTAAGGCTCCAATTCCGAGAAAAGGATATTTAAATGAAATCCAAACCAGCTCTATAAGAAGATACTTAAATTGCTACTTATTATGCAAAAACTTAGCAATTTGTTAAACCTGTATCCAATTAAAATGAAATAAATATCAGAATGCATTTAAATGCTTTTCTAAATTGGAACTTTAAAACCTTTTCCTGGAAGCTGATAAGGAATATCTACAGCAGTTGAGACTTACTGCAGCCTTTTCCATATTTCACTACAGTCACGCTTTTACACAGTCACTAGAAACTCGTAATGCAGACTTTGTCTACTTTCAAAAATTAATGCTCTCTGTGGGAGCTTTGTTAATAGTCAGAACTTAATTGCTTTACAATGCTCTCCAATCAAGACCATTTCTAGCAACTCACTGGATTACAGTACTAACAAACTGTTCACCCCAGCAGTGAAAGTGATTGCCCAAAACTGTTACACAGAGATAGGCAGGGTTTCCCCCCAACAGTCTAAACTGAGGAGTTTGTTTGTGCTTCTACTGCACATCACTACTCTGCATGAGAAAAACTAAAGTAAATCAATATTTCTACCTCTTTGGATTTCTGAGTTTAACCACTGCTTCACTTTACTTGCCCTTGTCAGATTCGTTCTGCTCAGCAGCTGACAGAAGACACAGTTCTGACCCATTTGAAGGGGACGTTTTTAACCTTCTGAATGAACAAAAACAAAATAGACCTTTTTCTTTCTTTCTGTGAACTTTTTAAATCAGTCTGTCCTGGGTTTTGCATAGTGGAATGCTTGAAAAATCTGACCTACATCTAACCACAGCGACTAAGAATCTTTTATTGACTTCAGCCAGTGGCCTTTGAATCAGGGTCTACAAGAAACTGTGGCTTTGTGTTTTAAGACAAATAAGAAAACAGAATTTAAAGGGACACATTGTTTCAAACAGACTCATTCAATTCCTTAGCAACAATTTAAGAAGTCACAAGGGAAATGAGTTTTTATGGTCTCATCATTTCTTTGATGTAAAAGTGCACACTCCATCTTTCTGGCATTTCATTCAACAGCCTCACATGAGAAAAAAAGAGCCCCACTGTGCATAAAGAGAATAAAATATGTTCAAGAAGAAACAGGAAAAGAGATTCAGGTTAATACGAAGGTCAACCTCTTTCTGTGTTTCAAATCTGCACTTTGCTGAGATCTTAAAGAGGAGTAGAAAAAGCTTTAATCTTCAGTGCTGTCATCCTTGTGCCGGAGAACTAAAATCCAAACAGAAATGCTTTGGCTGATGTTAGCATTGTGAATTGCTGTTAAATCTTATATCTCCCCCTGAAATTCTGGACCCGACGTGACACTCTTCATATTAAATAAAACTAATGCCTCATGAAGGCTATCAGTGATCTCAAAATGCCAGAATCTGCCAGTCACTTCTTTCCTCCTCCCCTCATCCTATGCAACGATGCAGTGGGAGGCCTCAAGTAGCCCCAGTCCCTGCACAAAACTTATGGCCCAGGATGGAGGAGCCAGCCCACCTCCCTGCCTTCCTTTGCATTTCTGAACCAAATCCCAGGAACTGGTCATAATCTGATGCCATTCCACAAGCAACAGAGTTTTCAGGATCCTTCCCCTCCCAGGTGAGCTCTGTTTGCTTTGCTCTGCCTGGAGGCTGCAGGCTGTCCCACAGATGGGCCGTAGATAGCAGTTTGAGCTGAAGGTCTCTCCAAGAGCACAGTGTAATGGCAGCCCAAGCTTCACCCCTGAGAAGGAGAAGGAAGCATGGCTCTGCCCACTGGAGAAGAAATAGACTGAACCATGAGGTTTTCAGGTACAGTGAGGCTGAGGATGAGCAACGGAGAGAAAAGCACCTCCCCTGGGTCTGCCTGAGAGGCACGGCTGGGAACTCCCCCATCTGAGGTAACGTGGAGAAGTGCAGAAGACCCTCTCCAAATGCAGGTATTTGATTTTCAGGATCATCTCCTTGTAGTGTTGTGTGTGCATTTTCATACTGTGCTTGTGTTTCTGGTGTGTTTCATTTGTCTTCTTTAATTCTTTTTCTCTTCTTACAAAAGAGCCAACCAAGCATGAGAGGGTACTACTGAGAGCATGGGAGCTGACAGGTCTGCCACAGAACTACTTCATCAGCTACTTTGAGATTAAGCTTAAAATGTTTTTTTAATGCCAATATTTTATTCATCCACACAATTACCTCTTCCTTGCAGGAGAACTGCTGGACAATTACAGTGCCTACTATTTATAACCTATCAAAGCTGGAAGTCAGTTCTCTCGATCACGTAGTGTGGGGCTCATTTCACCAGCAGTGGTTGAAGGAGTGAGAAAGAGTCTCCTCTGCCTGGCTGTGTTCTTTTCCACCTTAAAAGTGAAGAATTAATATTAAAAAAAAAAGAGAGAGAGAGACACAGCTATCTAACCAGTATCATACTATGTGGGCTGCACTATATTAAACAGACAAAAAAAAAAATCAGGAATGAATTTATATCTGTAGCTAGACAAGCACAAGGAAAAGGCTTTTCACACAAACATAAGAATTTCCCTAATATTTAAAACTCTTCCCTGAATTATATTTTTCCATTACACTTTCCCAAAAGGACAAAATGGTCTCTTTTTTTTTTTTTTTTTAATTACTGGGGGTGAGAGAAGAAGAGTCCACGATTAAGATTTATTTTTTATTATTTAACTGCTAAGGAAAGCACACCGTAGGGCAACCACAGGAAGGAGAAAGTCCAAATTCATACAGTGCTTCTATCTCCCAACTCATGGGAGTAGCAGCGTCAGCTCTTAGCGATGGAGCAGAAACCACTTAAAATGGATCTGGAAAGGTGGTGAGAACTGTGGCTGCTTCCATCCATAACTGTCACCCCAAACAACCCATCATAGTTAAGTGATAAATACGACAGTGAACATCACTATCTGAAAGCTGAATGTCAAATGAATAGGAATGAGAGCACACTGCCATTCAGTTTTGAAATCCTTGCTTCAAGAACAGCAGCTGCTATCTGCTTTGCCTTTTGTTCAGGCAAAAGAAACGAGACTTTTTCTTACTCTGCTGCAGATGTAAAATGTATTTCATTTAGCATGCCTAAAACCAACAGCTCTCTGTGTGAGCACAGAGCTCAGTGCCATATCACACAAGTCTTGAGTACCTTTGAAATTTTCTTTCACTTCAGTTTCCCTAGTTGAAAATAGGGGTGTTTAGCTGTGAGAATTCACCAGTTCAGGTGTCTGACGGGAAGAGGTTTGGCACCATCCTGGCAGGAAGATTGGGTGAATGCACCACCAGCTGCAGTGATTTATGGAGGGGACGAAGGAATAAGCAAAGCCACAGGTAGAGATAAACAGCAGCATGAGATTACAGCATCGGGAAGAAATCTGTTTAGAATAGAAAACAAGGAATAAATATTTTTCTCTCCACTATGAACAACCTTTACATTTCAATCTTCTGGCTTAGTGCCTTTAGCTATCATTTGAGACTCCTTGTTCTGCTGAATATTTTTGCATCATAATTCTGCAGTCTAATGTCTTTTCAGAATAAATTTTAAGTTCTTCTTCATCCTTTCATCCTTTAGTAACAAGCGTAGACACAAACATACCTGTTCTGCTTCTCCCTCCTCTGTAGCTGAAGTGCAATTTACACTTTTGTTTGTTCAGCCACCAGCCCCTCCAGCATATGTAAATGATGCAGCTGACTGGATGCATTGTGAAGAACTTCAAAACTATTTCTGAGCAGAATATTTACTCAGTGATTAGAGAAAAGCTTTCTGATATTTGTATACAAAACATTTTCACATGAAGGTGGCACGCTTAAGCTTTGAAGAGATGATGATCATGTATTATACCCCTCTAGTTAAAAAATTCATGGGTGCTCTACGGAAATATCAGGAACTCGTGTTTCTCTGCGGCTGTGTCACTTCTTTAATTAAATGCGTCGTATGAGGGTGCACAGGGCTATGAAGCTTTTGGCCTCTGTAATGCAGGCAGTACCCTGCAAATCGTGGCCACGCAGCCTGATGTGAGTAATGGACTCGTAAGTGGCTGCAGGATCTGCTGCCTCATCCCAGGAATTGCACCACATTGATTTCCTGCCCACGAACCTGTCTCCTCTGCCCTTCAACCCACCTCCACAGTGGCTGCTCTCATGAAGTATATATCCAAGGGAGAGGACCCAAAGAACAGGCTGATACTGCAAAGCCACATTAATACACAAATTCCTGCTGCCTCTTCTGCGTATTGGTGTTGTTTTTTATCCACTAAAGAAAAATGGTTTTCAGGATCGTTGTTTTCCACACTCTCACTCCCTTCTGCCTTTGGTAATTGGAGGGAAGGTAGAGATGCATTAGGCATCCTGACAATTTCTTACTCTGTTGCAGGGAGAATGTCTCATGGAGATTTTTTACATAGATTCCTGGCCAAGTTTCAGAGAAGGTCATTGCAAACTATCTCTTTTTATTACATCACTACAAACTGTGCTGGTTTTGGCTTTGAGACCCACTAGAGGAAGGCAATAGCATGCCAAGTGTTGGGCAAGGTATGTTTGTGCAGAGATTATGCTTATCCAACAACATAGGGAGTGCCAGAGTTCCTTCTTTGTGAAAATATAGAAGATATCCTACCAGTGAATGGCTACACTCAACAAAGCAGCAGCCACAGACAAAAATTCCTGAAATGTCCCATTTATAGCACATGGCCATAAATCTAGGCATTTCTGCAAAGCTGGTAACAGTGTGTTTGATGCTGGGTAAGAAGAGACATCGTTGAGAACCTATATATGAGTTCCTAATACATAAACTGTAATTTTATGCTGCTTGAATAATGTTGATAAAAGCTAGAGATATAGCTGACAAAGAAAGAAGATAGAAAACCACCGCCTTAAAAATGAAATTGATACTGAACCAAAGAACAACAGCATTCAAATAATAATGCTACAGTGTATCACCCTGTTAGAATTCTGCACAAAACACTGACTAGATTGTTTAGGAATAGATGTCATATTTTAGATAGAAATATTTATTCCAGGAAAAACAAATTAACCAGCTGCCAAACCCCTGACTGTCAATCAAACTGCAATAGAACGAGATAGATGCAACCATCAAACAACAAGGTGGCCTATAAAATACAATAGAAGACAAAAGAAGAAAATTTACCTTCCCTGCTCAGGGAAATAGGAGATCACGTGAAGTGTAGAAACATTGGCTGCCATGAACACTTACCTTCCTCCAGTCATTTTGCTTTTCCTGTTATCCCCTACCCACTTCCATTTAGCAGCACTTGGCAGTATGCTGGCCACATTCTTCCTCAGGAGTATGCATGGGCTGCCTGGAGAAGTATGGGAGACAGAGGTGAGGTCAAGGGAGGAAAGGAGATGAGAGGCTCTGGCTCTGATATCTCCCTCTGATGCTTGCAAGGCTTGGGAGAAGTTTAGAGAGCAAGGGCAGGACATGGACTGATGCTGTTTCAGGGCCCAAAGAGAAAACAGACTGAAGGCAGGATAAGAGTTAATGTGTCCATCCAGATTCAGGTCCATTTAAACTTTCAATTGCCTGTGTCTTTTTCCTACGCTTACAGGAGGTTCTTTTGTGTCACCACATCCCCCTCCCTTGATCCTTGTTTTTCTCTAAGGCATTATCTGGTTTTAAATTATGTAACAATAATGCTGTCTTTGAAACAGTAATGTAATTGAATGATATGCTACATCCTTTCATTTGTGCTTAACCTTTAAAGGACACATTTATATAAAATATCCAGCAGTGCCCTCCTTTTTACTCCCTGGCTAAATGCACCTGTAAGACTCTATTTACTTACCATAATAGTGCAGGAATTCAAAATTTAATAATGCCCAATTTTTTATAAATACACATCTTTCAGCTGAAAATGCAACGCTGATTTATTGCATTCCTAGGGATAATTCCTAAGGCTAAATGACTTTCGAGGCTGATCAGACAAACAGACTGAAACATTTGACTTACATTACAGTGCAGAGGCTTTGGTACTCTACTATCAGCAGTAAAGTAATCCTTGAGTTTGTGAAGCAGAAGGACTTTGTGGACGTAAGGAAAGCCTCTCTTACTTATGGCTGTTTTAGGCGTTTCTGTGCTCCCTTCCAGTTCATGCCAAACATGATGCTCTGAGATTTGGGCAGAACGGCCACCCAGGCAGCAGCAGTGAGCACAGCCTTCCTCCTGATGCACACTGCTCAATGTTTCCAAACCCTCTGCAATCTGCTGGTGTTGTTGCTGTACATCAGCAGTTCAAATGTTCAGTATTTGAAGTAAATAGAGGACCTCAAAGCTGCCAGCCTGATAAATATCAGAGGATTGAGTTTGCTAAGGAAACTGAAGTAGTTCCAAACTAATTTGGTGTGTTAAACCTGCATTTGGGAGAGGGAAAAACCCCTTCACTTTAGTGTTTAAGCTCAGTGCAATTTTTGTGTGCATTCTATTGTGTTCCTAATTATATAACAGGCAAATAATGCTTATCTTTGGGCAGATGGATACATCACTAAAAATGACAAGCCCATTAGATCAACAAGGGCTATATAATTATCATGGGGAAATAAAGCCAATAAATCTATCTGGTATAAATTATGGGCTTATGAAGTCATACATAATGAAATAAATATTTAATTTTTCTAAAATCCAAAGCCTTCCTTCGGAAACAGGAATATTAAAAATTCATTTCCATTTCTTACGTGGGGAGCAGTGCGGTTGAGTGGTTTCAGCACAGGCGTGCACTCCACTTCTCAACCCTATTCCTGGTTCTGCCATTGATTCACATTGTGGTCTGAGCCAAACTGTTTCCACCTCTTTGTACTCCTCTGCCCATCTGTAAAGCTGAGATAATGCTCACCTGCTCCATAGAATCATTAGGAGAATTAAGAAACATCTGCTCTGCATCTTGAAGACATGAAATACCCTCGAAACACAAAGCAGCATTATTTGAGAGATGGATAAAACCTTCCAAGGTTTGGAGATTTTCACTTTGTCACCAAACCTCTCACTACCTGGCAGGATTGATTTCCACTTCACTAATTCAGTCAGCTCTCTCTTTCTATGATATTTATTATTTCACTCTGCTTTGCTAAGTCTGTCACCATTAAAAGAGATCTGTTTACTCTAAGTCAGCTCTTCCAAAAAATAATTGGCAGCAAGTTCCTGGTGGAGACACAGCAAAGGGAACATCATCCTCTGCAAAAGATTCACCTGCTGCCAACGCAGGTCCTGCTCTGAGAGCAAAGATGTGCACTGTGTCTGCTCCATAATTGTGGAGAAAAGGTGAAGGAAAAGGGCTGTTTGGGGATGTAAAATTATAAAATGGAAGCACAAGGAAAGAGGAAAACAAAAGTTTAGTAATTAGAACTTTTGCTACATGCTGAAATAGAAACAACTTCTCTACAAGGAATGAAGAAAATATTTATTTTCATCTAATATTTTGTAAACTGTGTGGAACAGTCTATGGCAACTCCATCAGTAAGATTGCAATACTCGTATTTCAAAACTGAAGTAAAATAGTTTTCCTTCTTGATCAGTAATATTGTATGTCATTCTGCTGTAGCCATATTGTATCTATCCATTCTATACAGCATATTTCCAAGATTATTTGATTTCTTTGCCTGTCCTCTTCAAATTTTATCATATATATATATATATATATATACACACATATATATATATATACATCTAACTTCAGTATTTATTGACTTTTCTAAAGTCAATAAAAAATGAACCTGGTGATACCATTCTTTTAGTATATTTTGTTTAGCTTCATTGTTACACTCGCAACTAAATTTTTTTCATACACTTAAAACTCAAGTTTTTTGAAAGGTAGGAAAGATAGAAAGGGTCGCAGAGGTAGAAAGGTAGGAAACCAAGTGTGTTAGTTTTAAAAGTATTTGGGAAAAATAAAAGGAAAAAAAAAAACAACTATGCAGCTCAACAAGCAAAACCCAAAATGGAAAAAAAAAAAAAGGTATATAACACTTCCCAATTAATGCAGAAGGCAGATGAGTCACACCATCCATTTTTGCCAAAGGTGGTTTAGAGTTGGTGTTCTGTGTTCTGCTGTGCTTGGCTGGAATTAACAATGATCTGCACGATTAACTGAGAAATCTGACCTGAAAAGCAGCAAGGCTTTAATTGCTGTTAAGGAATCCACTTTGGCCTTGAAGCCTTTATTCTGTTCCACATAAACTCTTGTTCTCTGCCATCAATCTGTCTCTCTGTAATCCCAGAGATTAGGAGGGCAGAAAGAGTCATTCTCATACCTCATCCTTCAGACAGATCTGTTGGATATCCTGGAGGCAAGTTTCATTGGATCAAACTTTGGCTGAGTTCCTCCTTGTAGGAAGTCAATGGCCTTGACTTAATGGCTTTAAGTACCCATTCTGCTTTTGGCCACTTAACTGTCCAATTAGTTTCTTATTTTTAGGCATAGAGAAGGCTTTGTCTGAGAGGGAAAGAAGCTGTACCCCACTGGAAAGGACAAACTAAGTATTTCCAGGCTGAGCATATCACTTAGTTTTATATTAAAGAAGAGTGAACCAATTCAACCTCTAAATCAATGGCAGATTTTCCAAACCTTGAGTAATGCTTGCAGCCCTGCAGTGAACTCGCACCATTACGCTGGCTTTCTCTCAAAAAAAATCCTGTTATAAATGCCTTGAATCATTTCACAGTGGTCTCATCCAGAAGATGAACATTTCTAGAAAATAATTTGTCCCTGCCATATCTGTAGGTATGTAAACCCATGCTCACAGGAAAAAGATCAACTGACAGTACCTGAAAAAATCAGTTTACTGTACAGACACCAAACTACTTCCACATACATCACATGCAGCACTGTCTGCAGCAAGCATGGCAAATTGCTGCAAACACACAGGCTCAGCATCTACAGCCGTAACCACGACAACTGCCCTGCAACGACACAGGAAAAGATCTCCAAAATACTGTGTCTGCTGCAGCACGATCTCGTCTTTCTCAGGCAATTCCAAGCATTTCACAAACAAAACGTCAGAATTCATCTGCCTGAGGCACTGTCACAGATGTTGTGCTGTGGATTCGGAGGGAGGGCTGTGCTGCCAGAGCCACAGGAGCCCCGCATTGAACACTGCACAGTGTTGCTGGCTGAACAAGATCCTGAGCTGGCTGGAGCTCAGCAGCCTCTAGGAGGGATGGGGACGGCCTGCTTGAGCACAGCAGTGTGGGCTGCAAAAGTTAACGGCAAGGATACCAAGCACTACAACAGTGCTTTGATTCTAAACACTGAAGAACTTGTATGTTAGTGTAATTGCCATATCAATAGCTCTTTGTATTTTACCCATCCACAATACCAAATAGTGCCCTAAATATGTCATCATCTCTAAGATGTCTGAGTGCCCCAGTTTACCCCATGAACAGCTATGCAATCATAATATGTTTTTGAAATCATTCACAGAACAATAAGTTCTGAGTTCCTCGGTTGGTTGGTTTTCATTTAAAAACAAACAACAAACAAACACAAAAACAAAAGCTAAAATCTAGTTCCTGTTAAAGAAAAAAAAGACAAAAACACTTTCATATCCCAGAACAAATGTCTTCGACTGTGTCAAAGCCCAGAGAAGCTGGAGTTCATATGGCAGCTATTCCCAAGTGCACCATGGATGCTATCCACAGAACATGCTTTAGATAAAGTTTGCCATTTCCTTTTGCTACGTTCTTTGGGAGTATTTCTATTCTGCCTTGAGCATAGATCTCAACACAAAGGGCTGCAATATGCAGCTCCAATTCATGACAGAGTGCCTATGCCATGAAAAATCTCAGCACCTTCAATGAGATATTGGTACATCTAAGGCTTACTAATATGAGCAGGAGTTGATGACTAACATGAAAATCTGCTTCAAAAATACCACTGCTAGAGCTGACATATTATTATAGACAGTCTATTGTACTTGCAAAAGACAAGTAAAGAGCTCTTGGTTGAGAATACATGTCAGAAAAATGACATGTTTTCATCACTTCCAGCCCTAGTTAAAAAAACTCTGAATACATTAACCAGCTGAAGGAAAAATACTTTCAGCTTTTGTATCACAGTGGGAATCTGTAAATCTGCTACAGTGTAACAGACAATTAGTTTGAATTCAACCATTTATCATTTCCAAAAAGTTATGGTTATTATTTTTTAATCATACATATATACAAATAGAGGATTTTTCACTGAGTTCCCCATGCTCCACTTCTGGGGATCCAGCAAACGGAGGGTGTTTCGGGTGGCAGGACCAGTTCAGTAATTGCAGCTAATTCGTTATTTAATACAAAGCTTCAGCTTGTTATTTCATCCTGACTACACGTCCCTGTATGCTAATTCAAAATGATCCAAACCATCTGATGAAAATCTGGTAAGTATTTCAGCATGCCACCTGCATGGGACCCCATGCTTTGCTTTCAGTAACTTCCTATCAGGAGTGAGTATTCTGTTTTGTTTCCTAGACCAGACTTGCTATTTCCTTTATCCAGAAGGCTTCAGCTATGCTCTGGGGACTGAATTCCATGCATCTGTAGGGATGGCTGTATCTCTAGGAATGCCTGGCACTGCTTCTGAAATGTGTTGCTTTTGTTGGCACCAGTAAGTATCTGAGAGTACTTGTTTTGGCTGAAGTTTTCCTTTTGTAATCTAATACTGACCCAGAATCATCCTTTCATGAAAATGAGTGGATGGAAAGCACAGGTCCTTCTCTGTGATTCTGCATTTCTTAAGCTAAGCTGGACATCCTTTCCAAATTCAGACCAACAGAACGAGTCCATCACGCTCCTTAAGAGGAACATATTACTGTCTACATGGATAAGAGAATGGAAGCATGGGGTCTAGTCCTACAGCCTTTACTCAAATCTCTTTCATAGTAAATCTAGATTCACTCTGGATTTAAGAATAAAGGAAAAAAAAAGAACAAATTAATTGCAAATTGCACCATTTTTCTGTTTTTGACAGTGGTGGTCATTTTGTATTTAAAAAAAAAAAAAAAAAAAAAAAAAAAAAAGAAGGCGACTGGTTATTTGCAGGAAGAAATAAAAAGGAAAAAGGATAAAAGGAGGGATGTGGCCATGGATACACCACACAGGCTTCCATCAGAGACACATCTACAGCCAGGAGCATTACTGAAGTGGCTAAAAGGAAGCACCAAGGGGATTCATGCTTTGAAAATCTGAAAATGCAACTATGCATATCATCTCAACAATACTATTTTTATGTATTTATTCCTATACATAGCCCAGAACACTTAGGAGGCAGCAGCACATCAATGGTGACACAATAGTTATTACTACATATCATTTGTGCAGTGTCGTAAGTGTTCAGGGCAGACAGGAAAAAATGCTTTCCCAGAAAGTACATGTTATAAGGATGTTTAATTAATCTAATGGCTTAGTGGGTGCCATTAAGCACCTCTTTAGGTTAATTTCAGTCTCAGCAGGCAGGTGGATAAATAGGAAGTGATTTTACTCCTTCTGCCAGACAAAGCATCGTTTCATTAGACCAGAAAGGATTGGGCTTTTTCAGACCTTGTATTTATCTGAGTGCTCTGTGAAGAGACAAACCCTCACCCTGTTTCAAGCCTTACAATAGCAGGGAGCCCGCTGCTGGAAAGCCCCTCTAGGTAACAGCTTACATCTCCACTGCTCTCTTACTCACACACTAAGAAATGTGGGACTTTAAGGGCAAGCTTGAAGCTGGACAGCAATGTCCTTTTCTGAAGTAGAATCACACTTGTGACCACACTGCTGCTCTCAGCCCCAGACAGATCAGCTCATTCTCATTTAGAATCACAGAATCATAGAATTCTTTGAGCTGGTAGAGACCCATAAAGGCCATCTGGTCCAACTCCCTGCAGAGAACAGGGAGAGCCTCAACTCTGTCAGGTGCTCAGAGCCCACAGCAGTCAAAGCAACCTGATCCAACTGTAGATTTAACTCCACTGCACACACAATAAACCACAGGATAAACCGAGGATTCGCCCAAACACTGCAATCTCAATGAAGAGAACGACTCACTGCTATCAACGCCAGTTGTCTCTGGCAAGAACCACCCACGTATGAAACACAAAGATGCATCTAGAGTAAACTGCAGCAGATAAGCTCTCAGCATTTTCTAAGCGAGCATGAAAGATTTCTCAAGGTTAAAATTGTATCTTTTATTAAATGCTACAGACATCTCTTTACTAAACATTTTTCAAATATTACTCAAACTAAAACATCTCTTGCTTTCCCTACAGTTCACCTTTTTAACAAGAACACCTTTTTATACGACCTTGCATAGGCTGAGACAATTAAACAAACACCTTAAAGGACTCAGAAATTGATTTTGACAGAAGTAAAATCCAGCACTGTAAATGCAAAGAAAACGCTGTGGTTTAACTACCTCACCATACGTTACACACAGTGACAAAAATATCTCCAGGGCTTTGCATTTATGCACTAGAGTTCAGATACTTAAAAGTTTAAACATTTAAATCTGGATTTACTTGTTATCCTAAGCAGCCTCCTGCAGTTTTACAGCACTAAGTTCTTCAGATTTGTCTAATTCAAGGCTGCACATGCATGACATATTGAAGCAGCTTTAAGAAAACACACTTGTTCCTGAGTTACTGAAGCAACCTCACCTTGTTCTGAAATCAAGGGTGTATCTGAAAAACATAACATGGACATTGCTCACCCTGGGCAGCCCTCATTGACCTGTGGTACCCAAACCTCAGCAGCACTAAGGCTCTTTGTTTGCGAGTGAAAAAGTCATTGAGAAACAGGTCCTGTATCACCTATGGCTTGGCTTCTATTTGATCTCATCCCCAGCATCAGAAGGAATAGAAAGAGAAAAGTTAAAAGAAAAAAAAAAGTAAAAATCAAAGAAGAACTTATTTTTTGTACATTCATCATTTCAAAATTGGAATATAGCAGCATTTCTGGTCTTATTAATAAATTAGAAAGAATAAACTGGACCAATTTAACGTGAAATTCACTGTAAGATACAATGAAGTGGTAGGAAATTGTAGATAGCCATCAAAACAAAAAGAAGGCAGAGATGAGAAACCAACCTAATATGCATTACCAACATTATTTACAGACCATGTCAGGCTTAGTTCCACTGAATAGCTTCTCAGCTTGCTTATTATCAGGCATTTTTGTGGTATTTAAATGTTGAAACTACAGATAATTTGTATTCCTTTCCCCACTGCAACAGGAAGGTTTAATAGAGAAGATAATATCAGTGTTTGAGATCCTGTTACGCTCTCAGCAAGGTGTACCTGCTGTGATCGGGTGCTGAGGGAAGGCTCTTTGTCAGACCCATTTCCACAAATTCTTCGCTCATTTTCTGTTATAAATAGTGCACAGTGCAAAACAACGCATGGTCTGAAGAGGCACTAAGAGTAAAACAAGATTTTCTTGTTTAGCATCAGCTCTAAGATGCACAAACCTAAGGAGAGATCAACACATCCATTTGATGGTGTATGTGCTTACACACCCATGAACTCCTTCGTGTCTCAAGGCAACACACAGAGGGAGCAGGCAGTGAGTCTCATCCCATCCCACAGAGCCTTTCTAAACAAAATAAAACGTTAATTTTTGTCCTCAAGCAATGGTTGTCTGTAAGCCTGCGCGATCAATGCAGCAGCCAAAGATGTTATTAAAATGCCCCTTCCAATGTGCTTCATTCTTCACGTTCCTGAGCACTAAAACAGAAGTTGAACCTGTGCCTGAGCACATATCATTCAGGTGTTACTCTGCTGGGATCTATTTTCATCCCATGTGAACACTGTGCTGCTCAACAGCGGGGTTACAGGGGCCAGCTCATTAGTTGGAGGGAAATGGCAGCTGGGGAAACAAAAATTCAATGCAGAAAGTTACAAATGGTTTCAGCATTATTAAAAGCTTCTTACACTGACAGTTTTGGGGAAAAAAAAAGTTTTCCTCTTTTTTTTTTTTTTTTTTTGAGGGCAGCTGACAGTGGCAGACCCTTAACTCTGTGAATACCACAAAGCCAAAGTTCGACACCTACCAACTGCAGCACATACCTTTGTTTTCAGAATTTGCTTGAGATCCAGAGGATGAATGCTGATGGAAATGTAGACCTCAATGTGCTCTTTTTGGAAGCTGGTGCCCACCTGCCTGCACTCATGAGACAAATGCCACCATCTCCCCACTGTAAGTTCATCATTAGCCATTGCAACGTCTGTCAGGAAGTTGACTCTTGCTGCTCCCATTATAAACTGTTAGCAAGCCTGGGTCTTTCTTTTAGTCATTAAAAAAAAAAAAAACAAAACCTGACTTCCAACCTCAGTGTACTTGGAGCAAGTAGGTGTTCACCTGCCATCCAGCCAGCGTTACAATCTGCTCTGTCTCAAATACACATCATTTTCCGGTGTTTACTTCTCTCTCCCACAATTTCTTTGCAACCATCAGTATCGGCGTTTCTCAGACTTCAATAAGAATTACATTTGTTACTTGTCAGCAAAGCACTGAGAGGGTGAGGGAACCCAATTTGCATCCACAATTGCAGTCACATAGCTCAGCACACAGACTTTTCTTCCAAACCACCTTGCGCTGACTTGAGATGTCTTCTCTGGTAGCCACATGCTTACAGAAACTGGGTGTTCCATGGCCACTCGCCATTCTTCTAATCCACTGGAGCACTGTTTTGAGTTCTGATGAAAATTCTGAAGTATTCTAAGGAAAATTGGCCAGTCCATCTCCTCATCATTTCAAAACCTTTAGAAATACTATTTACAAGGCACGCAACTGGAAAGCTGCATTGAATAATGTATAAAGAACACTTTTCTTTGAATTTCATAGCCTTTTGATGGCAAAAAACACTGACAGATTGAAAGATGTGATTCTGCCATGTAGCACACAAGATGAAGGGCTCTGTAGAGCTCTCTCTCTTTTAAACAGATCCATCTCATGCAAGTGGATACCTGGGACTCCCATTACATTACACTTTTTTGTTTTGTTATTTTTTTAATAACTACTTTTGAGCGTTGGCATTGTTTGTTCCTCCTGGGTCCTGGTCCTGTAGCAGTGGGGTTTCCCAATGCAGTGACACTGCTCAGAAGGCAAAGGACTGGTTTCACAACCTCTTTCCCATCAATCCCATGGCCTTCATCCCCTCCTCTCTCAGTCACAAGGCAGGGAAATCACTTCAGGATTTCAGAATCACAGAATGCCATACATTTAATTCAACTCTTTCAAGAAATTCCTCAATAGTGCTCTCTGTTAATAGCCAAATCGTTACCTGTGCTTTATTCCCACTGTAAAAGTTAGTCATAATATACCATCTGTTCCCTCCTTATTCAGCAGCCAGCACACAGCACTACATACATAGCATCAGCCAGTCCTTTCACCAGGCAGATAAATTCACAGCCATCATTTTGAGTGATTCATTTGTAGAAATATAAAATTCTCCCTCCTCAAGCATGATTGTCACAGTGCTTCTTCTCAAAAAGTAGAATTATTAATTTAACCCCTGCAGCAGTCTCAATGCACACTGCATATGAGATACTTAATGTGCACAGCTGGTGTGACCATTTTAAAAAATTAGGGAGAAAATAGCTTCTTGGTTTTCAATTTCCTCCCAAAAAAAGAAAGAAAGAAAAAAAAGGCACATTTTGTTCTGCTCTAATTAGTATGTGTGCCAGTGCATGACTTCCAAAGCAGGCAGATGCTTTGAATGAAGTGTAATGTAGATTTTCATTAATCTTCTTTGGCACAAGACTTTTCTTCTGTTATGTGTATGCAGGAAGTAATGACTAGAGAAGATGAGCAATCACAGGCAGTTCTAACCAACTTAAGCTGGCTTTTGTAAAGGGCAGGATAGGGTCACCAAAGAGTACGGTTACCTCAGTGTATGACGTCTCCCTGTTTCTGGTTTTTCAGTATAATAAAGGTTTTGAAGTAATTCCTTTTTAATAACAGCGCATTAAAAAACTCAGACATGCTAACTAAAGAAATTAAATATCAATGTACTGAATAATGCATGCATTTCAACCAGCCACACGGCTGATCCAGAAGAAAACCACAGACACGCTTTCCTTTCAGGAGGCACAGAATTAAAAATTGTACTTCCTGAAGCATTGATTTCTGGTTCAAAGCCAGTATGGAGAAGGGCCCCATCTTGCTGGAACTGTCAATTAGAGCCTATCAATAAGCAGTTTAAAGAAATGTTGGAATTACTTTCATCTTTCCTCACTTCAATTCAGAGATATTCTCAATTGTTTTAGGTACGACTGAGGGGAAAAATAACAAAAAAGCTTGAGGCTGAGGCTGTGGATGTTTGTTCTTATTAAATAGCCAAGCTGGGTTATTCTACCACAGAGCCAGGTTCTGCCCTTGATTCACTCCCACGTGCCACAGTCAGAACTAAGATGCTTCGGGCTCTCTGAATTATGAGAGCATACTGATGATGTGAATTTTTCCAGTGCTGAGTATGCATTCAGTATAACATAATACAAAAAAAATCTGCTTCTTTTAGAGATCATAGCTACTCTACCTTTTGCCTTTCTGCAGTCCCTTCCATGGCTTTCCTTTTTCTTCCAAGAGACAGTTGTTGCTTTCCTCCGCACTCCTCCATTCATTTGTAAGCTGTGTCACACACATGTAAGAAGAGAGCAGTTCCCACATTCGATTTGAGGATTAACTTCTGAATAAGAGTGATGGGACAGGGAAAGTCATACTCCCTCAGAGACACTGCCTTGGGCAAACACGGCTGCTCAGCTGTTTGATTTCCACTTTCAGACAAATCTCTCTCATAACTCTGAGGTCTAAAATGCAGCTTCTGCCACGAATGTTCCAGTTCTGACTTCAGGAAGAGGGAGGCTGCTAACTACATTACGTGGCCCAGCTCCAAGCTAACGATGGCATGTTTGACATCTACGTGTAAGGGAAGTTAAATTAAATAAATAAATCCTCCTGTAATAACACAATCATTAATTACACAAATGGATTTCTATTTACAGTCTAAGTGAAATTATGACTTAAGAAGATTACAGAGTAATGTGCAGTATAGAACAGTGCTTTCAGGAAAAGCACAAGCCAAGAAAACATAATGAAAAATATGTGCCATCATTCGAGATAATACACATGGGACACAAAAATAACTTCTACAATTTGAGCAGAAAGAAATATACTTCTTCCTGACTTCTTTAGAAACAGCCAAGCCCATTAAGCAGTAGTACAGCTGTTTTAATGTGCCCTATCTGAGCATTAAAATAAAAAAGGAGGAAAAAATGGGTTTAATCTACTCTATGTATTATCTTTTCCAAAAGGCATGCAGAATAAAGAAAGACATTCCATCCAAACCAGCACGTATCTCAGGAAATGGAAGTGAGAGCTCTTACATTTAGGAAACCCACTTGCTTTAGGACCCCAGCGTTACAGTGGTGGGACTGGACTAGATGCTATGTTCCATGCAAACAGAATGATTCAGAGATTTTATGATAACTCTTCTATTTTCACTTTGCAGAGCAGAATCATTCCAATTTAGTTGTCAGGCACCAGATAATAAATACAATTACACTGCTAAAGACAGAGGGTCCCTTTCCGCTCTTAAGGTTGCGACCTTCTGCATATGGATAATCCACCTATGGCAAAGTGTCAGAGCACCTTTCTCTAACGGTTCCTGAACTTTGCCTTGATTCCCACCTTCTTTATCACGTAAAGAATTTAAATTCTAAAGAAAAAATACCAGGACTCTTCACAAACAAAGCTAGCATTTCTCTTACTCATTCGAACAATAGAAATGATGATGTTGTGGCTTGCGCTCATGTACAGCTGTGTTACTTTATTAGTTCCAGTAAACCTTGTCATCTTTGCACCAGGACACCATGGCAGAACAGATGACAGTTTTGATCTCTGATGTTTTGTTAAGGAGCTCCCAGGGCTTGCTTTATATAATATATATACATACACACACATATAGTATCCAACAGTCTCTTAGTGGTTCATTATCAGGTATATTTCTATCTTTTCACCTATGTATATAAAGGGATGATAAATCTGTCAGTTCCAGGAATACAAAGTTAATATCATTTAGACACATAAATCAGCATAAACTCACCTGATTCTATCAGAATGAATTGACGACTCAAGCTCAGACAACTTATTTAATATTTGAAGAGAGAAAGAAAGAATCCTCCACAGAAGCAGCTCACAACTTTCCTGTAAGCCCTTCAACAGGATCAGTAAATCACCTGGAAAAAGCACGGTGAGGCCCACTCCATAACTCAGGCACCGAAGAACCCTGCCTACAGACAGCAGATCCATGAATGTGCACATTAGCTTTAAAACTATTTATACAATCTATTGATTTGGTAGATGATGCTGAAACACTGAGGCTGGACTGCTTCTGCATGCACACATACCTTACCACACTAATGTGACATAACGAGCTAATCAAAGGAATGCAAATAATTTGGTTAGTTACATATGTGAGCCTCCCACACCGTTATATTTCATAAATGAAAATGAAAGGAGATAGGATAGACACAAGCTGCTGTATATCCATGAGAAAGGGGCTATAAAGGAACAGTTTTGCTAAGGCTGGCACAATGCACAGTGCTTCACTGGCTCCAATAAATAATAACACTTCAGCTGCAGAAAAAAAGAAATCCACCCTACAAATAAGGTCTGCTTCATAAAACATAATTTGGAAGAAACAGAGTCATGAGGGAGATCCACACGAGCTGAAGGCTGAAGGCAGGTACACCTGGAGAGCAGGAGGGAGCTGGGCATTGGGCAGTGATGGGAAGCAGGCAGCAGATTGGCAGCTGCCCTCTTGTAGGAATGTTCTGAATGATTCCAGTTGTCATTACCTCAAGGAAGTTTTCACTTGGGTAGCATAAATAATACATATTTTTAAAGAAAGCGGCAAAGAATCTGGCTTGAAATCTTTCTTTCTTCCATACAAAAGCAGCAGTCATTAAGTAGACTGCTTATGGGCTGCAAAGAGATAAGCCAATCTGCCACGCTGCAACCTCAGGAGTCATAACTATGGGTCTCATTCATGTAACACCAAGCTGTGCTTTTAGAACAGCAGCTTTGACCCTTGGTGACTCCAAATATTTTGGCTGTGAAGCCTCTCTAGGGTGCTTCATACATAAATATTAAGGTGCCAAGAAAAAGAACCAGTCATAACTAAGCAAACAATTAAGATTAAAAATTACATAGGATGTCGTGCTTTTATCTATATTTAACATGCCATTAGGGAAACTTCTTTGAAAGGCTCAATATTAGATTTAAAATTAAAATGGTATTTCGGCAACTGTATTCAGCAAATTGTGCACATGTAAAGGGACCAGAATATTGCACAGTTCAGCACTAATAAATAATGTTCCCTGGAGAATTGAGCATTTCAGGCCTTTTTGGAAACACGTGTGAGATTGAACATTTGTATGCTATTTGAAATATAACATAGGCTGCTCTAAAAGTAATGCCTCCTCTTTATTTCCATGGAAACTACAACAATCATACTATTTGATAGAGCAAACTCTCAACTATAAAACACCATTTTCCAGCATAGACACCACCATCTGCTATGCATTTTCACCAGTGATGAACAGGAGCCTGCATGGCACACGTGTCAAAATCTGAACCAGTGGAGGTGACTCACTGTCACCACAGATGAAACAAACCACCTATCACCTCACTGTGCTCACATCCATTGTTTGGTCTCCATACACATCCACAAGAGCCAGTGACTGTCAATGGATGCCATTTTTTCCACACAGAGGAATTCAGTGGCACACCTTTTCTTCCTGCACACTTCCATGTCAGACATCATCGTGTCAGACTGCCTCTCTGCTGCCATCTGTTACACAACAGCAAAATGTAACAGGGTATTGGTGGGAAGGTTCAACCTCTACTGCCACAACATCTGCCTCTGATGTTGTGGTCCAACATCATAACACAGAAGGCATTACTTTCAGAGTAGCCCTCATATCTCACAGTTTTGCTGAATTAAACTGACTAGAACTGAAACAGGAAATGTAAGAGTTCTTAGGCTCAGCTACTACAGGTTGAATCTGCCTTCCTTGAAAAACACCAGATACTGCCCTAATCTGTTTCCCTTAGCAGCTTGAGGGGGTAGAGTTCAATCCAACCAGGATGGGAGGTGATCCCCATGGAAGCCAGATGGGAAATGGGGATTGGTGCTGTTGGCAGAACAGTCCAAACCATAGGGGTAGAGAAGGTTGCTGGGGCTGCCTGTCACCACTTGAGTTTTCAAGTTTTCATACAATCATAGCATCATCAAGGTTGGAAGACCAGTAAGATCGTCTAGTCCAACCATCAACCCATGTCTGTGCCTGCTCTAAACCAAGTCTCTCAGTGCCACATTTATCCTTCTCTTGAACACCTACAGGGATGGCGACACGGTCACCTCCCTGGGCAGCCTGCGCCAACGCATCTCCACTCTTTCTGAGAAGAAATTGATCCTAATATCCAACCTGAACCTTTCTCGGTGCAACTGAGAGCCATGACCTCTTGTTCTGTCTTATCCTTTCCTCTCCTCAAGGCAATCCAAGGCCAATTTGTGCACTGCGAGTTATGCTGTGAGGACAGGGATCTCTCCTCAGATCTCCGAGCACAGAAGTTAGAGACAGAAGAGCAGTAAGAAATCACACGCATCCCACCAGCTCTCAGCCCTATTCCTGCAACCAGATCAGCAGGCAGAAACCTGCTGATTGCAACAAAATTGTCAGTTTGCAAACACTGAAATTTGCAAACAGAAATTCGTGCTGCAAAAAGGTAAAGAAAATGCAAACTGACAATTTCTTATTACTCAGAAGTAATGAAGTTACGATGCAGGCGTACAGAATGACAATGTATCAAAGCCCCAGCTCCAGCTGGAGAATTCACAACTTCTGGAACACGAACAGTAAAACCCTTAATGAGATGAGGACCGTGGATAAAACTGCTGCTTCAGAAATGCCCTGAGCACCCGCAGTTACCCAATTAGTGATCTGGCAGCAACGTGAGAGCATTCAGTTCCACAGAAGAAAAATAAATATTTAACATACGTAAACTCACTCACAGACTGCTCATTAAACACCACCCAAACGAAAGAGGAATATCTTACAATAAACTCACCCTTAGTTTTGTTGTCCTTCTCCACATCTTTGTAAAGATTAAAGAGCAAAAGTAAGAATAAATTTAGAACTGCAAGTTTCCTTTGAATATCTTTGTACATTTACTGCTGCCATTAGAGTGCCGCAAATAACTACTCCTAAAATATAATTTGAGTGAGGAAATGCACATGATGCTGCAAATCCCTACATCTCCTGCTGGGCTTGTTTGGGAGGCAGGGAAAAGCATTCTCCACTTCTCTTTGAGTTGCTTTGCTTCTCAGAGGAACAGGAGCATGGCACTTCTGCTACCCTTCACCAAGAGAGACAGAGGCAATGACAGAGAATCAAAGAAGCAAAGGATGACGTGAGTTGGAAGGGACCTTTAAAGGTCATCTGGCCCAGCTCCATTAAAATGAATGCTCTTGGGTAGGTCCCAGAATTGTGGGGTTGGGTCACTCACTGCTGGGCAGCTCTGCTTGCTACCATCCTACAAACAACTGCTTACAACTGTGCCACCAACCCCCAAAATGTGTGTTTGACTTCCCTTTCACTTCTGGCTGCCAGCATGGCAGCCTCAGTGAGTTCAGAGCAATGATGAGCTGCTCTACATCTCATTAAACATCCCCACAGCTCTTCAGAATTGCTGATCTGTGTCAGCTGCTGCTCAGGCAGGGAGCTGGCTGCCATCAGTGGCTGTCTGCTGCAGGAAAACAGCACTGGAACACACCTGACTTAAAACAATGAGTGTTTCAGGACACAGCTTCTCACTACAAGAATAATAAAAAGAAAATGTAGTCCAGGTGAAATAATGGGATGCACAAAAGAACGATACCAGCAGCCACCAAACTTCTCCTACAGCCACGAGCTGCTCTGCTTGCACACCTGCTCTGTCAGACCAGGTTTGCACACTTGCTCTCTACAGGCAGATCCTGATGCACTGAACCCAAAAGGAACAAAACTTCACAGAAGCAATGTGCTCCTCCAGCAGTCCTGAAGCCAGAGCAACCCTCCAGCTCTCCATACCTGCAGTGCCACTGCTCTGCACACTGCAGCAGCTGGCAGAACTTCATCACAACCCCATAGGAATTTGCTACTTAAGGCATTTATTGTTTCATGCACAGCATCCTCAGCGATGAGCTTTTGATTAATCATATGGTGATTAATTACCTGCTCACTTTATGGCTCCATTTCAGCAGAGCAATCAGGTTCTAACAGCAGCACGTTCCCAAGTTCTGAGGTTGGCCAATTATCTGTCACAGCTGCATGTGTGGCGTATTTCTGTGCACATTCCTCAGATGTTTAGATTACGGCCTCAGAGTGCTTGCATGAAAGCCATAAAAGTGAGCCCGAGAACGCACCAACAGCACGGTCAGCCCCATGCAGTAAGACATCTGAGCCATGTAATCTATCTTAGCTGTTATTGGTTCAAGAGATTGACCCAACGTTTGTTATAACATACATACATGGCTTACCCGACCAACCAATGCATTTTGAAAGTGAAGTTGCACGATATACAAACATTTATTCCAGTTAACAGCATAGAATATATAAGGTGCTGCTCCAAAAGTAATGCCTCCTATGTTATGATGTTGGACTACAATAACAGAGGTGGATGTTGACATTATGGTAGTAGAGATTGAACCTTCCCACCAATATCCCATTACATTTTGTTGCTGTGTGACAGATAGCAGCAGAGGGGCAGTCTGACACAATGGTGTCTGACATGGAAGCATGCAGGAAGCAGAGATGTGTCACCGAATTCCTCTTTGAAGAAAAATAGCATCCATCGATAGTCACTGGCTCTTGTGAACATGTGCAGAGACCAAACAGTGGATGTGAGCACAGTGAGGCAGTGGATGGCGCGTTTCAGCAGTGATGTGAAAGCCAAACAACATTTTGAATAGACATGCAGATTTTGATGAGTGTGACATGCAGGCTTTTCAGCACATTTGTGCTGGGACAACACAAAGCTGACTGTGGTGCTATGCTGAAAAGCAGTGTTTTACAGCTGAGAATTTACTGTACCGAGTAGTGTGATCCATACTCTTTGTAGCTGTTGTAGTTCCATGGTAATAAATAGGAGGCATTACTTTGGGAGCAACTTCCATGCATCTTTCCCTTGAGAAAATCTTGTACTTCAAAGCAGAGCCCTATATGAGTGAAGACAGTAACAAGATATGCATAAATTGGCCATGTAGCATTTAGGAAACACTGTTTGCATGGCTCCTGGCAGGCTGGTAGGCACAGAGTCAGGACAGGTCAACCAAGCCCACCCAGCAGCTCCAGGAAGGGCAGATGTTTGCCAGCCATAAGCCTGGCCCAGCTCAATGAATTACTTCTGAGCATTGCATGACAGCAATGAATAGCAATTGCCAAAAAAACAAGAACAAGGACAGAGAAAACATGCAGGGATCCAATTATCCCAATCTCCAGTACTCTGTGGCTCATACTTACTAAGGAAGAGAAGGCAGCACAGCATTATAGCTGGAGAACATGTTCTAATGCAACAGGAACTCGTAGTTCTAAAGGTTTCTGATTAGCATGCATTTAAATATGCATGAGTGCATTTCTATCCTTTTACCCTCTTTGGATGCTTAGGGGGTGGGGAAGCACAGCATCTCCACACATGTAGGTTCTTAGCCATGAGTTACAGGTTTTGTCAGCCAGCTATTGGAAGCAACTGCTCTCTGGATGTTATTTAAAAACAAAACCATAAAACCTAAAAAAGAGGTTAACAAACACAGATCTGTTAAAGTTAACTGTCTTACAGAAATTTTACAGAATCAATGTTTTTGTGTTTCCCTCATACTCCTTTGCGGATTCAGGATTGCAGAACTGCTGATCCTGCATCACTCTTAAGTTTTAGGGATTTTTATCTTACTTGTAAGTATAG